GTGTGCTAGGTGTCCTGTAGGGCCCAGTGGCTCAGCCTCCCCAGTTACCTGAGGTGGACACTCTTGGTGCACCCCCTTGTGGGCTTTCTGCACAGTCTTGTAGCTATGCCTTGGTTGCTGTAGGATCACTGGGAGGCATTGACCTCCTGGCCAATTGGCAGTGAGAATCAGCTGTGTCTGCAGTGGGAGAACTTCGGAGCTGGAGACACTCTTCTGGGCAAGACTTGCTTCAGTGGGGCTTTGGTGCTCACTGAGTCTGGCCCCTGAGTGTGTCCCTTATGGATCTGAGAAGTTGTAATCTGGATGATCCCACTCTGACCACTGGGTAGACTGGCTCTTGAATCTCTAAGGAGGTACTAATTTAGCCTCTTCCTGAGGCTGCCCAGCAGGAGCTATGGAGAGATCTGCAGACTCCTCTTCTTTGTTTGGGGTTTGCAGGTGCCCAGATAAGGCCCAGCTGTGAAGCAATGCAAGCTGCTGCAGGGCTTTGGGCCTTCTTTTGGATGTTCTGGGTCTCTCTGACCCAGCTGCAGTTTGTTAGGTAATTTTAGATTGCAAAGGGCCAGGCCATTCACATGTAAAAGCCTCTGCCCACAGCTTGGGTGGGGCGGGTCTCAGGGAATCAACTGGGCAGAGCAAACAGCTATGGCTGATCCTCAGCCCTGCCTTAAGAGGCCCTGTCTCAGTGTCCTGCGGTAATCGCTGCAAGCAACTCTGAGAGAAAGACAGTCCAGTTTCTCCCCGTATGAGTTTGGATTCCCAGAGACTCACCCAGAACTGGAGTTCAGAGCAGTCAGGAGCTTGTGTCTCCCTCCTGATTGAAAAAGACAACCGCATCCTCAGTTGCCACCCTTTCCTAGTGCACCTCCATACCTCTACACTTTACTTCCGCGCCTCCTCTGAGTCTCAGTGTGCTTTTTTATTTCCTTCTAGTTGTAGAATTTCCACTCAGCCAGCCTTCCTGTGGTTCTGGATGATGTCTGTTCCGTCATTTAGTTGTACTTCTGAAGTGGTTGTGCGAGGCAGCAATTTCTGGTGTTTACCTATGCCGCCATCTTGGCCTCTCTTCAGCCTTACCTTTTCATTCATAAAATGCAACCTGTCCTGGCTCCTTTCACATGTTACCATAAATCATAAAAAGGGTACAGTTATTATTGCTATGTACCATCATCAGAGAATAAATGAAGTATTTCCTGTGATTAACGTATTCCCAGGATGTAAATTAGGACTGTTTAGGGATTTAAAAAAATGCAGCCATCCAACCACGATATTGTATGACTGAGAATCCATTACTTATCATTGCTTTAAACTCTGGAAAACCAGGTGATCACCACCCACCTAATAAAACTGTTGGGAAAAAAAAATGGAATCAAATGAAGTCCTTAAAAGTACTTGAGCATAACTGCCTAGCACAGGGGTTCTCAACCTTCTGGCCCATTAAGTACAGTTCCTCATGTTGTGACCCAACCATAAAATTATTTTCGTTGCTACTTCATAACTGTAATGTTGCTACTGTTATGAATTGTTATGTAAATATCTGATATGCAGTATGGTTTTAGGCGACCCCTGTGAAATGGTCATTCGACCGCTAAAGGGGTCACGACCCACAGGTTGAGAACCGCTGGCTAGCACATAATAGGTTCTCAATAAATGTTAACTGTATTAAAAATAAAACCAAACCAAAAAACCTACAGCCAGCCACTGGTTCAATCCACTCTCTGCATAGCAGGTCTCATTCCCTGGGGGCATGTCGAGCACTCAGATGTGCCTTGATTCCTGGTGGCCTCAGGGGGACCACAAGATGCACTTCCCAACATACTAAATTACACTCTAGTGGGGTGAGTTAATGCACCTCCAAAAAGGCCTGCCAAGCCCAAGGGACAATTCCCTCAGTAGAAGGATAGGGTTGATTAAAGCGGCCATTTATAGGCAATTCTGAAACTACCATCTCAGCTACTTTGTAAAAGTGAACATTACTAGCAATCTCTCCTAGTGAAAAAAGATCACTAGGGCATAGTATTAGTAATCACGATAGACACACAACTCACTGTTTCCTATGTGCTTGGGCCATTCTATGTTTTAAATCTTCACAAAATCCTATGAGGCAGGCATTATAAACCCTATTTTACACACAAGAAAATGAACCCAAAGGCAGCCCTAATTTGTATGACTCCAAAGTCTATGCTCTTTCTTGCCTTCCAGACCCTTTGCCTCTCAAACTCAGCCACCTGCACCTACCTAGGGAGGAAGAGAAGTGGCAGGGATACTCCCAAGTCTCAGGTTACATAAAGAATGTTCCCAAGGTGTTAATTTTTACCCAACAGTTGAAGTGTGAATTTAAAAACATTTTATATTCTCTGACAAACATGGATCTATTACAAAATAAGCTGCAAAATTCATAAGAAATTTCAACGTTTAAACTTAAAACTTGGAAGAAATTTCTCACTTCCTGTAGTCTTTGGCCAACCCCTCCCCTAGTGGTGCGTAAGCACGTGCACGCCCACACTCTCAGGCATGCCTGTTAATCCTCCCTGGCCAGCAGCTCTAACTGTGGTATAATATTCTAGAAGCAAAGAACTACCCCCACCCCCGCCACTACCACCACAACCACTTCCTTGCTTACTCTGACTATCTGAGAACAAGGAACTCCAAAGATACTCTCACTTACAAGTTATCACTGTTTTCCAAACTCAGTTATTCACCTTCTATAGTAAGACAAGTTTACGTCATATATGCCCATGTCTACAGTTCAGCATTTAAAATCTTCATGGCGATAGTCTATAATTTCAACTAATTCCCGTCAAGTGTCTAATATCTTGCCTTATATCAATAAGCACTCAATAATGAGTTCTGATGATAAAAAGAGAAGTGAAGTATATAACTTCTAATTTTAATCCTGGTATGACATCATATAAAAATGTGTATTACTTTCTGTTGCTATATACTTAGCTCTACCTAAATGCAGAAAGTATTTGTCCTGGTAAAAGATCTAAAAATCCATAGGTTAGAGTAAACATTCAATTAATAATTATGGGGAAGTAGAAAAGCAGAAAAATCATAAAATAGAGGATAATTAAAACTAGTTTTATTAAAAATACAAATAAAACTCATATGATAAAATTCAGTATAAATGGGTAGGGACAAAAGTGAATGAATTCTAAAAGCAAAGTAGAATATATATATATATATATATATATATACATATATATATACACACACACACACATATACACACACACACTCTTGAAAAACATAAGGAATATTAAATATTGTTTCTGGGAAGTTATTAAGCTCTGGTTTAAAGAAGATATTTATAATGAATTCTACTAACAAATAAGACCTGAAATTCTGCAAGAGAACTACAAGAGCATTTTACTCAGGAAGGATGTAGTCACACATTTTTAATTAGGGTTTCTGAACTCTTGAAGTTTAACTGCACAGCATAAGTGAAGGCTCCGGACAAGGGCAAATGATCTCGGCACTCATAACCAGAGGAGGCGGTTCATGGGCTGGCCAAACCCTCCGGATTGACCAACTGCCTCAAGTAGGAGACAATGTGACCTATATTTTAAAATGTCCACATTCACAAAAATTTTATTCTGAGACTATCACTTTACACATTTGAATCCTTAACAACAAAAAAGGAGTGGCTAAAACTACTAGTCATTTTCTCCATCCTGACCAAAATGAATGGAACTTTCAACTGTAGGTCTTAGGCTGAAAAAAAAAAGT